AACAGCATTTTATTCAAACCAGCATCAAAACTTGAGTCATTTGGTGAAGTTCAGATTGTGGTTTTCTGAAGTGCTTATCTCAATGAAATAAGCATGTTAGTCAAAACAGCATTAAAAATTAAGTCATTTAGTGAAGTTGAGATTTTTGACTTCTGAAGTGCTTATCTCACTCAAAGAAGCATGTTAGTCAAACCAACATCAAAACTTGAGTCAATTGGTCAAGTTCAGATTTCTGTCTACTGAAGATCTTAACTCGCTCAAAAGAGCATTTTATTCCAACCAGCATCAAAAGTTGAGTCATTTAGAGAGGTTGAGAATTTAGGCTTCTGAAGTGCTTAAGTCGCTGAATTAAGCATGTTAGTCAAAACAACATCAAAAGTTGCGTCATTTGGTGAAGTTGAGATTCTTCACGTCTGAAGTATTTGTTTCACTGGAGGAAGCCTTTTAGTCAATGCAACATCAAAATTTGAGTCATTTAGGGAAGTTCAGATTTTGGTCTTCTGAAGTGCGTATCTCACTGAAATAAGCATGTTGGTCAAAACAACATCAAAAGTTGAGTCATTTGGTGAAGTTGAGATTTTGATCTTCTGACGTGCTTATCTCAATGAAATCAGCATGTCATTCAAACCAACATCAAAAGCCAACTCATTTGGTGCAGTTGAGATATTGGTCTTCCGATGTGCTTATTTGAGTGAAATAAGCATGTTAGTCAAACCAGCATCAATAACTAAGTCATCGGGTGATGTTGAGATTTTCGACTTCTGGAGTGCTTATCTCACTCAAATAAGCATGTTAGTCAAACAAACATCAAAACTTAAGTCATTTGGTGAAGTTGAGATTTTAGCCTTCTGAAGTGTTTAACTCGCTGAAATAAGCATTTTAGTCAAAACAACATCAAAAGTTGTTTCATTTGGTGAAGTTGAGATTTTGATCTTCTGAAGTGCTTATCTCAATGAAATAAGCATGTCATTCAAACCAACATCAAAAGCTAACTCATTTGGTGAAGTTCAGATTTTGGTCTTCTGATGTGCTTATCTGAGTGAAATCAGCATGTTAGTCAAAACAGCATCAAAACTTAAATCATTTGGTGACGTTGAGATTTTTGACTTCTGAAGTGCTTAACTCGCTGAAATAAGCATTTTAATCCAAAAAGCATCAAAAGTTGAGTCATTCAGTGTTGGTGAGATTTTGGATTTCTGAAGTGCTCATCTCATAGAAATAAGCATGTTAGTTAAACCATCATCAAAACTTGAGTCAATTGGTGAAGTTCAGATTTTGGTCTACTGAAGATCTTAACTCGCTCACAACAGCATTTTATTCCAAGCAGCATGAAAAGTTGAGTCATTTGGTGAAGTTGAGATTTTAGGCTTCAGAAGAGCTTAACTTGCTGAAATAAGCATCTTAGTCAAAACAACATCAAGAGTTGAGTCATTTGGTGAAGTTGAGATTCTTGACTTCAGAAGTGCTTATTTCACTGGAGGAAGCCTGTTAGTTAATCCAACATCAAAATTTGAGTCATTTAGGGAAGTTCAGATTTTGGTCTTCTCAAGTGCTTATCTAACTGAAATAAGCACGTTTGCCAAAACAACATCAAAAGTGGTGTCATTTGGTGATGTTGAGATTTTTGATTTCTGAAGTGCTTATCTCACTGAAATAAGCATGTTAGTCAAATCACCATCAACATTTGAGTCATTTGGTGAATTTGAGGTTTTAGACTTCTGAAGTGCTTAAATCGCTGAAATAAGCTTGTTAGTCAAAACAGCATGAAAAATTAAGTCATTTAGTGTTGTTGAGATTTTTGATTTCTGAAGTGCTTATCTCACTGAAATAAGCATGTTAGTCAAACCAACATCACAACCTGAGTCAATTGGTGAAGTTCCGATTTTGTTTTTCTGAAGTGCTTGTCTCACTGAAATAAGCATGTTAGTCAAAACAGCATTAAAAATTAAGTCATTTCGTGAAGTTGAGATTTATGTCTACTGAAGTGCTTAACTCGCTGAAGTGAGCATTTTAATCCAACCAGCATCAAACATTAAGTCTTTTGGTGAAGTTGTGACTTTTGCCTTCAGAAGTGCTTATTCACTGAAATATGCATGTTACTCAAAACAACATCAAAAGTTGAGTCATTTGGTGAAGTTGAGATTTTGACCTCTGACGTGCTTATCTGAAAGAAATCAGCATGTCATTCAAACCAACATCAAACGCTAACTCATTTGATGAAGTTGAGATATTGGTCTTCCGATGTGCTTATCTGAGTGAAATAGGCGTGTTAGTCAAAACAGCATCAATAATTAAGTCATCTGGTGATGTGGCGATTTTTGAATTCTGAAGTGCTTATCTCACTCAAATAAGCATGTTAGTCAAACAAACATCAAATCTTGAGCCATTTTATGCAGTTCAGATTTTGGTCTTCTGAAGTGCTTAACTCGCTGAAATAAGCATTTTAATCCAACCAGCATGAAAAGTTGAGTCATTTGGTGAAGTTTAGATATTAGCCTTCTGAAGTGCTTAAGTCGATGAAATAAGGATGTTAGTCAAAACAACATCAATTTTGAGTCATTTCGTGAAGTTGAGATTTTGATCTTCTGAAGTGCTGAGCTCAATGAAATA